ATGTGTGTGCTCTGGAGAGGGCCATGGGAAGAGGGAAGAGATAGGATGTGGCTGAGGGAGGCCTGAGGGTCAGTGGGAAGGGGCCTTGTCAGGGGAGCTTGAGATCCCCAGGTCCACAGATGTGCCTCCCCCCAGGCCCCTTTTTGTGCCGCTCCATGTCTTTCCCTCTCCTCGTCCTTGCAGGAATCTGTCCTTCTCTCGCACCTGTTTGTCTCACCCTGTCCCATCCTCTGTCTCTTCCCAATTGTGTACCCCTTTTCCCTCTCCCCACCAGCTGCAGAAGGCCATTGAAGGGCACACCAAGTCTGGGGTGCAGCTCCGCCCTCCCCTCGCCAGCTTCCGGAGCACGACTTCCACCCGGAAGAACCCTGGCTGCCCGCCCCCTCCCACAGAGGCCTGGAGCCTTCCTGAGGATGGAGCTGGGGCTGCTGGGGCAGGTGACGGGGCTCCCGCCTCCCCAGAGACCCCCGTGCCCTCCGCCTCAGCAGAGCCCCGTCTCTCCGCTGCCCTGGACAAGGCAGAGGGCGAGCTGGAGGAGCTGGGGCTGGTAGAGAGCCCAGGGCTGGAAGAGGGGCTGGCCGACATCCTGCAGGGCCCCAGCCTGCGATCCACTGATGAGGAGGATGAGGATGAGCTGACCCTTTGACCACCTCCAGGACCTCCTCTTAAAGACTGTCCAGAGGCCCAGGCCGGAGGCCGGATTTGTATGGGCGGGGGCGGGGGGCGTGTCCCTGAAGTTGGAGAGATCCACCAACATCCTGGCGCCTCCTGGGAATTTTAAAATGGGATAGTGATAGTCTTAGAAGAGGGTTGCAGTTTGGGCAGAGAGAGTAGCCTCGGTCAGCTATTTAGGCTATGTCCAGACAGGCAGGGGGTTCTAACCCCGGTGAAGGACCTGATATTCCATGGGGCTTCCTGAGCCTTCCTGGTGCGTGGGTGGGAAATACCCTGCCTCTCTCGGCCTCCCCTCAGTCCCCTGTAGTCCCCTGGTGTCTTGTCCCAACACCTCCCCGGCTTTGCCCCTGTGTCTGCCAGGCTCCGCAGGGGGAGGCCCACAATGACTGTGACCTTCAGAGGAGAGGGGAGCACCTCATGGCCTCACAGAGTGACAGCCCGGAATACGCTGGCACATCATTCACACCCCTCTCTCACAGCCCCCCACCCCGTTCCCCTGCTTGCTCACATCCGCTCCCTGGAATTTGCCTCCCCACTCCATCCTGGCTCCCACTACCTGGGGGCAAGGGCCCTCACTAGAGCAGTGAACAGCCAGTCCCATCGCCGCCCCCCCCCCCCCCCCCCCCCCCCCCCCCCCGCCGCCCCGGATGTAAGCAGTGTGGTGTGGATAAAGGAGGAGCAGCTCTGTGCAGAGAGCAGGTGTCTTGCTGCCGAACGCGCAGGCCTCCTTCAGGCACAAATCCGTCCTATCTCACACCAACCTGCTTCCTCACGCTCCAGTTTCCAGGTCAGCCCCTGGGAACGACATCCTGCTCCCCACTGTCCTCACTGACCTCTCCCGCCCGAAGGTCCACTGTGCCCTCCAGCTGCTGTGGTTGTGTCTTCTCCTGCCAAGAACCAAGGCTCAGGGCAGCCAGGTCCCTGGGGCACTCAGACACCAGCCCTTCTTAGACTAGTTCTTTGTGTTCCTCTTCTAGAGGTGGTGGGGAGATGGGGGTTCAAGGTCAAGATGGCAGACCTCCCTGATGTTTGAAGTCAGAGCCTTATCCTCCCCACATCAGCCACCGGGTGCCGTGCCGGTAGCCTGTCTTTCCTATGAAGCGGTCCTGGGTGCTCGGAGCCTCCAGCAGCCCTCGCTTCCACACCCAAGGCCTTCTTCCCTCCCTCTCTTCTTTTGGTCCCTATCTAGTTCTGCAGCTGTACCCCCTTTCCGAAATTCTCCTCCTTCCCCTCCCCTGTGCCCACTCTCCATCATCCCCCAAAGAAGACACTCATAGTCAGAGGTGCCACCACATTCTGTTTAGTGCCATTGAACACAGCCTGTAGCCCTCTCCAACAGGACGTCCCTTCCACCCCCCCCCCCAGGCCCAGAGAGGGTGCAGCCTGGGCAGGGGGCTGGCAGTGGGCATTGGAGCCCATGCCCATGTGTATATAATCTATAATATTTATATATATTTATATATAATTCTCTCTGTAATATATGTCATAGAATCTCTCTTGGGCCTGGGGTGGGAATGTCACATTAAGAAAACATGCTAAGACTGGCCATAAAAATGGATATTTCCCAGACCTGGAAGACAGAGTATGGGATGTGGAGGCGGGGGCAAAGAGAAGGTCAGACACTCATTCACCAAGAGCCCCCACCCCCTCAGCACAAGGGTAAGAAGGTAGGCGTGGGGGAAGGTGGGGCAGTGGAAGGGGAAGAATGGGAGATTTGGATTTTTCTTTAATAAAGTGATTTGAAAATGAAAGTACCCCCCCCCACCCAACCAAAGGAAAATCATTTAGCAAGAGCAGTTTCATTCACAAGAATATAAAAACAGCCCTGTTCCGGGACTGTTGGAAAACGTGCTGCACAGCCTTTAACCCCAAAGGAAAAGCAACCCTCCCCTACCCCACCCCTGACAGCCTCTTCCTGCACATGCCCCTCCCCTCCCCCTAGAATAGGCTATAAGCAAACCCCATGCACCCCACCCCCAGCACCAGAGAGGCAGTTGCTCCCTCCAGAAGAGTCCTAAGAGGGTCCCAGGCCAGCTCCTTGGCTCTTCTCCCTCTTCAGAGTGGAAAATGCGGGCCCCCACCTGACCTCTGGTCTGCGAGTCCCCTCCACGTACAAAGTCTGCTAGATGCCCTCACGGTTTCAGCCACTGTTGCGGGGACCGTTTGGCTTCCTCCGGGAAGGGAGGGAGGGAGGGAGGCAAGAATGCTGGCTGCTGTGGTCCACCTTTCCCAACTCCACAGGCCCTGAGCAAGAACGAACTGTAACGAGTGAACCCGCTGGATTGTGTGTCCACCGTGGTCTGGGGGCAGAGCGCAGGCAAGAAGTGGGGGGGGGGGACTGAGAGCAAAAGGATGGTGCATTGAGACAGCAGGTGGTATGAGGCGAGGAAACAGAACCGTGAACATGCAAAAGCCCAAGTTCCCATGGCAGGCGGGCAGGAGTCTCGAGTGAGGGCCAGCAGCCAGCGAGGGCATGCTGGGCCACCTCCCACAGCTGCTCGCTGCAAGGTCCTGCTGCCTCCTGAGTCAGGTCACATCACCGAACACGACAGAGGTCCTCCGTAGAGATGGCCGTGGATAAGGTGACTTCGCCTACCCATGCTCACCATGCCCACTCCTGAGTCCTCCAAGGACCAACCCCAGGAAAGCCCTTGTCCCCCTCCTCTGGAGGACACGGGACCCTGGCCTCAGCTGCAGTGCAGGAGCACATGTGAATGAAAGTGTGAACTCGGTTGTGGGGGCGGTGGTCATAGATGGACAGAAACACCCTGACTCTCAACCTCCTCATTCCAGAAAAATAGGTCTGGGGCATGGGGTGGGGCGGACAATTCTGTCCAGGGTCTGGGAGAGGGTGACAGTGCTCCCTTCCCAGCAGAGGGTAAAGTGATAGGAGCCCTGAAGTGTGGGTAGGACACACGGCCTTGGAGCTGGAGCCTTAGTCGGGCACAAGGAAAAGGAGGGAAGGCAACAATGAAGCTCTGAGATTCTCTCTTCTACCCAGTCTCCCCGTGCCCCCGCACTGGGAGGGGGCAGTGCGCCAGCCAGCTCTGCAGCTGTGGTGTCCCTCGCTCTCCCCCGTCCCCTCCTGTCAGGATCTGTCCCAGAAGGGCTACGCGGAGGTCCCCACCACAGCGGAAACGGGCCGTGAGAGGGCAGGCCGTCTCAGAGGCCTACGCCTCACCGTGACCCATGCTGGAAGGAAGAATCCTCTGATTCTCCTCTCTTCCTCCACAGGGGGCCCGGGGAGGGAGGGAGAACACCTGGGAGGCCCTCTTTGGAGTCTTGGGAGGAGCTGAAGAAGAGGCAAAGGAACCGAGTGCCCACACTGCCCCTCGGCAAACAGCCCACCCTGGCCGGGGCCTGACAGCACCGGACTCCTCCCTCCACCCCACTCAACCCTGAGTCCCCAAGAAGTTATAAAAATGTAGAAAAGGCAAAGAGAAAAGTGTAAACAGCTCCAGAGAATTAGAGGGTGGATGGGAGGGAGACACAGCCCTCATGCTTCCCCATTTGGCCAGGACACCTACATTCTGTGTCACCCCCTAAGGGCCAGGGCTCCCAGAGCAGGAGACAGAAGAAGGCAGAAAAGGGAAGCAAGAGCTGGGGCAGCCAGCCCCGGCTGGGCCCTTTCCCAGATCCCTGGATCCTCCTTCCGGACAAGGGAATAGTCAAAATCTCGGAACAGGTGGCCATGTTTGTTCTGGGTCTCATCAGTGACTTTCTGATCTCTGAGCAGGCCCGGATCTAAAGAATCACATTTGTGTCCCTGTGCATCCCAGCTGCCACATCCACCGCCCCCGTGACTCCTGATCTCAGAAGCCAATTTCTCGCTGAGCTCACATGACTTTAGGTGGCTTCCCCTGTGCCCGTCGAGCCATACCAATAGCCCCTGAGGTCTGTTCCTCATAGTGGGGACGAGCTGGGGCCACAGCCAGAGAAAACACAGAGTCGGGAAAAGCGGGAGTGACACGGAGAAGGGAGACATTCCCACAGCCACAGTCAAGGCGCCTGGAAGACGAATCAGAGAGGGAAGAACTAAGGTCCAGTCGACGGCCACACACTGCTCTGTGCTCCTGTCCACAGGAGAAACACCGGAGCTTCAGACAGACCCGGAAGCCTGCAGCCAAGCAAAGTTCACAGCCACCCGGTTGTCTGGGCCTCAGTTCCCGGACCTGGGGTTTCTACAGTATAAACCTGGTTAAATTCCCATCCTGGCTCCCCATTTTCCTGGCGGGGACTGGCAACTCCTGGGTCTCTCATGGTCTTCTGCCCGGGTTTCAGCTGTACTGCTGGGGGAAGGGAGGGTATTGTTGCAGCCATGCCCCTCAGGTGGGAGTGGAAGGCTGGGCATGGAGGGGGAGGAAGCTAGTTGTTAGCCTCGCCCTCCTCCTCATCGAAGGATTGCACACCTGAGGATGTGACATCAGACACTTTCCGGCTGAGAGCAGTGGACATCTCAGGATCTTCTCGTGGGGAAAGTGACTCCAGGTCCCGGCATCCTGCATCGTCTTCCTCCTCGGGGGCCAGTGGCCTCTTCTCCTCCTCAGCAGGGCCCCTTGCCAGGTCCACTCCCCCCACCTCCGGAGCCCAGTCCGTGTCTGACCCCAGCAAAGGTGGAGGCTCCTGAGCAGAGTATCCACAAGCAGGCTGGGAAGGCCCCATTTCATGCAAGCTGGGCTGTGAGTCATCAAATGCAGGGCCAAGATAGGATCCTGTGGCCGGAGAGGCAATGAGGGACTGGTCGCTGGCTTCCCAGGCATCCGACGACCCCAGACAGTACATGCCCTGGGACACATAGGAGTGAGGCCATCCATCCATGGGGGCTTGAGCAAGGGCATCTGCCAAGAGAATCAGGGAAGTCAGCACGGTTACAGAACATCAAAGGCGGCAGCAAGAGCCCGGAGAACTGAGTAGGGAGGGCAACAGAGTAAGGAGGAGAGTAAGAAAGCTGAAATGAAGAGAAACACACGGGAATGGAGGTAGCCCGGTAAAGCTGGGGAGACCTCTCAGGCCTCAGAGGAACCACCCCTCACCTTGACTCTCCATCAGCTCCTGGTAGTTGTCACTGTAGTTGCAGCCCAGTGGCTCCTGGGTGGAGTTGACACTCATGTCCTCCCCGTCCATGGAAGACCAGGCCATGAGTGTGGCCTCGGAGATGGCAAACTGCTCCATGACACCTACAAGAAGAGACGTAGTTGGCACAGGACACCTCCGGGAGCCCTTAGACACACGCACGGGGTAGGACGACGTCGGGGCAGCACTGTCCAATAGAAATACGATGCAAGCCATTTGTGCAATTTAAAATTTTCTCACAGTCATATTTAAAAAAATGTAAAAGAAACAGGTGAAATTAATTTTTATAATATATCTTACTTAGCCCAATATATACTTTGGATTATCTTTCAACACGTAAGCTATATAAAATTATTAATGAGATATTTTACGTTATTTTATTCATACAGGTCTTTGAAATCCTGTCGGTATTTTACACGGATGGTACGTCTCCATTCAGATGAGCCACATTTCAAGTTCAAGTTCAAGTGGCTACTGTATGGGACAGCACAGACTAACCCCCACACAAGGCAAAACGGTGTGGGACTTCCCAGGTCAGGTTAAGAATTCTTAGCGGAGAGAGTTGAGGGGTCTTCTGGTGAGATAGCCAAAGGGATTAAAATGAGGAATTTCCAGAAGTTTCTCTTTGGACGGTTTTAAGAATGTTAGCTGGTACTAGGTTGTCAAAGACAGAGGAATCTAAATGACAGGGCTGGATTTCAACAGAGAATCCCCAAGGGAGCACCATGGGCTTGTCGGTCCACAGTGGTATCAAGAGGAAAGTTCCAGTGTTTGGAAGGAGAAGGGAGGGAGGGGACAGACAATGGAGGCTGGGTAGACCTGGGGGTCCCCATTGTGGTCAAAGCCGGTTGAAGCTTACATTGCCAATTGCCCTAAACTACCCCCTACCCACTGCACGTTTGTCTCCCCTCCCCACTGGTAGTTCTTCCACCATTCACATCACCACAACATAGACATACCTCCCTTCTCTTCCGGATCTAACATTCTTCCCAGGTGTCTTACTGGGACGTGCTACAGGGGCTTGGCCACTGCAGCAGGCATGCCATATGCCTGTCTCATAGGGATTCCACTGTTCTGGACCGAAACCCCTTCTGTATACCACCGTCTCGCCACCCAGGTCCCTTGATCTTCTAGCGGTTGTCACAAGCAATGAGCCACGTAAGTGAATCCACTATTGCAACGTGCTGAGGGGCAAAGTGTAGAGGGGATTTCTCAAGAGACATGGGTAGAAGGGGAGTCTTTCAGAGTTCAAGGCCCCTGCCTTTATGTCCTGTACAGATAGTGCTGCCATGTAGGAGAGAAGGCATCTGGTAACAGGTGGACCCGCAGTTCCATGTAATTCTCTTTAATTTCTGAGAGGATAATAAAAAGAAGTTGGAGGGCACTTACCCGAATCAATCAAAGTACTTGAAATCAGAGCTGATTGGGAAATGATGTCTTATCGTCATCACAGGGATAGAGCCAATCCTGCCATCGGGGATCAGGCTGGAAGGTCAGTCTCTGGCCATCCCGAAAACGTGTCTCGTGAGGGTCCCCGGAATAAGTACCTGCTAGGAAACGTGCCTCCTTCTCGCCATCGCTGAGGTCCGAGTAGGCGTCGGTATCCCTGCGCACTGCCTCGTGGCTATGTTGCGGCTGAATGGCTGGCGCCTTCCCCCAGCCCTGCCACTCAATCATGTGGGCCACCCGGCCTTGCCCCATGGCTGTGGGCTTCGTCACATGGTCCTTCATGCTGCGAGAAATCCCTGAGGGGCCAGACATTCCCCACGTCTTCCAGAATAGCACACGCTACCCATACAAGATCCACCCCCACGGCCCCACCCAAGTCCCATGGGACTCCATCCAATGGGGGAGCTCCATATGAGGGGCAGCCTGGACAGGAGGGCTTCACAGCAAGGGCAAACGGGTCAGGGGTAGGGGTCTTCTTTAGGCCTCGAGGAGCAAGGAGACTGAGACCGGGAGCGTGTAGGGCATCTCCTGTGTGGATGCATCCCCAGGTGGGGAGTCTCACCTGAGAAGGATGACTTTGCCAGGGCCCCAATGCCGTAGGCGTTAGAGTTTCGCTTAAGCTTCGGAAGAATGGAAGTGGTGTCCTCCATGGAGAGCTGGGGGAGGAAATGTGGGAGGAGGGGCAGAGATGAGTTCAGGGTTTCCAGGAGGAAGGGTCTGAGCTAGGGCAGGTGAAAGGGAACCATTATGCCCAGGAGTCCTGAGGTCACTTATGCCACAACTGCCCTTGAAAATATGGGGGATGGGTAGGGAATGTGAGGGCTCACGGTGCCTGCTGGCATCCGGGAGCCCTGTGTTCTGTGGCAGGTCAAAGGGAGAATAGAAGGGAGAGGAGCTAGGGTGCTAGGGTGCGCTGGGGAGGGCGGGGGGAAGCTGCACTCACATTGATGCCGTCCCAGGAGAAGTCAGTCCGGGTTTGCTGTGAGGAGAGAGCAAAGGCAGCGGGGGGGTCCCGGGCATGCCCAAGAATGCAAATAGCCCCCACCCCACCCCCAGCCCAGGGACTCCCAGGAGGGTGTGAGGTAGAGAGGTTTTTTTCCCCAGCTTAACTTAGGAGCTCAGGATTAGGAGCTCAGTGTGGAACATTTGGCCTGTGTTTTGAGGAAAGTAGGAGAAATGTTCTGTGAAAGTGTCAGTCGGAAGGAGTGTTTGGGCTGTTCTCTTGGAATTTAGGAAGATAATTCAAGGATCAGGCAGCTGGGAGGCTTTGTTCATGAGGGTTTCTGGGGTCTTTTAAAAATCCTTTGGTTGGGGGCGCCTGGGTGGCTCAGTTGGTTAAGCGTCTGCCTTCCGCTCGGGTCATGATCCTGAGGTCCTGGGATGGAGACCCGCATGGGGGAGGGGCGGCATCCCTGCTCAGTGGGGAGCCTGCTTCTCCCTCTCCCTCCGTCCCTCCCTCTGCTCACTCTCCCTCTCTCTCTCTCCCAAATAAATAAAATCTTAAAAAAAATAAAATAAAACTCCTTTGGCTTGGGGGGCAGCGGGGCATGGGGCCTCACCTCGGTGGATGGCCGATGGAGGGTGCTCCCATGCAGCGAGCTGGTGCTGTCCATGTGGATCTGGTCGACATCCTTCAGGCCCTTCCAGTCCACTGCAATCACCTCATTCCCTGAAGTGGACACAGGCTCACTAGTTGCTCCACCTTCAACCCCCCCTGCCCCTCCCCCCCCAAGGCCCCTCCAGGGTCGCAGAGTGCTGTGGTCACCCAGGGGCAGTCCCTCCAGACCCCTCCCTTCCCTCCAGCTCCCACTCCTTCTGATGGCACATTCCCTTTCCCATTCCTACTCTCCCCTAATTTTTGGTAGGACGAACCGTAATGCTGAGCCAAAATATTCCCTTTGAGCGCACCCAAGAATAGCACATTCAGAGAAAGTGTTATATGGCCTTATTTGTTGTTGTTGAAATGGAGGGGTCAGTGGTTGGGTTTTACCAGGAAAACAGTTCTGTAGTCTGTCCTGAGGAATCTTTGAGGGTTTCTATATGGGAGTATACGGCAGCTATGCCTTCCATCCATTCTGTTCCCACAAATAAGGGCAGAACTTCTTTAGGGCTAAGCTTCTCTATATGTGGGCTTTATGGTTTGTATCTTGGAGCTGGTGATCTGTCTGACGGGAGGGAGATGTGGCGGGGATAGAGGCAGGAGTTGGGGGCGTTCACCCAGAAATGGGGAGAGCAGTGAAAGTAAAAACTGAGATGCGATCATTTCCCCTGACTGTTGGGAGACAAGTGATGGAGGGAAGAGGAGCAAAGGGGCACAAGGGGAGAAGAGAAGGGGACTTTTAAAAATAGGAACTAAAAGAAAGGCATTCAAGTCATGGAGAAGGCAAAAGACAATGGGTTGTCTTTTGGACAGGATTTGAGGGCTGACTGGGGGGCTGGGGGGCTGGAGGGCAGAGGAGGATGGGAATTGTTCAGGTGAGGCCAGAGCTTGGGGCCCTGGTAGATGCTGGCAAGCGGGCAGGGTGGTGCCTCTCCTGGGAGGTTGGGGAAGGAGCCCTTGGACCGTTGGAAAGGGACTCAAGCATCAGATGACTGTGGAACCATCTGACCTTAGAGATCCTCCCTGCGCATGGAGTTTTGTGATTCTGAATTTAGGGTTACGGGTCCATGCTTGAGAAGGGGTGAGGGGAACGGGGTCTTGAGCATGGGGAGGCATTCAGCGCGCATCCACACAGCTAGTGCTGAAGGATGGTGATTAATGGGTGGGAAGGAGGTAGGACCCCTCCTAAATGAGCCCCTCTCCCTTGGGGCTACCGGGGAGTGATGTGCTGTGGCTGGCAGGGAAGAGGAAATATGGACCCCTGGGCGTAGAGAGCAGGGAGGGGGCAGGCAGAGGAGAGGAGGGATGAGGAGGGCAGAGCAGGAGAGAGGGGAGGGGGAGGTGGCCTTTGTAGAGGAGGGAGAGCTGAGTCAGAGCCCTGGGGGGCAGGGAGGGGGAGAGAGAGAACCCTAGGAAGAGGTGAAAGCAGAGGAGGGGGGTATCCATGGAAATAAATCGGGTCTCAGAGAAATCAGGCTTCCGGAGAGTGAGTTTGTTTGTAATAACGATACGAATTATTCTCTCAGCCTGAGGTCACTGGGTCGTGTAGGCGGGAGAAATTGCGAGTTGGAATGGGAAAAATTGGGGGGTTTGGGAGAGGGTTGGACTAATTCGTGGAGCGGTGAGCGTGGAGTCGGTGCGTGGGGCGGGGGGTACGGGGGTGGAAGCAAGGCAAAGGCTGAGGGGAGAGACGACTTAGGAGGCGCCTGTGCCCGCTCCCAGTCCAAGGTAAATAAAGAGGCGGCCCCGCCCCGCCAGCCCCCGCCGACAGGTGCAGGTCCCGGTTCGCCGGGCCGGCCGGCCCCACCCTCCTGGGAGCGGGGTCCCGACCCCTGTCCGTCCCTCTAAACCCCCCGCCTCCTCCCCGCGCCCCGCGGCCCTTCCCTCCAGCGCAGCCCAGCCCGGCCCCATTTTCTCCCGGCGTGGACCCAGTTCCCCTCCCCGAGGCACCGAGCGCATCCCGCCCCCGCCCCGGAGGGAAGATGCACGTGAACAAAGCGAATCGGGGGAGGCAGGAACGACAGAAAAAGGCAACAAGAGAGAGGGAAAGAGGTGGGAGCAAAACACCCAAGCCCGAAGGAGGCGGGGGGCGGGGGGCCGAGGCGGAGGCCGGGGGTCCTTGGAAGGGGGCTGCCCCAGAAATGGAGGAGGAGAGAGGCGCCGGGGGAAGGCAGGGTCGAGGCGGATGGCCGGGAGGTGGAGGGCGCAGGGACGAGAGAGTAGGGAGAGGAGGCTGGTGGAGAGATGATGGAGAGGGACCGCGCCGGGGGGAGGGCGGCGGAAGGAGGCTGGAGGGAGACGAGGGAGCGGAGGAGCCGGGAGGGCGTCCGGCCCCGCAGGCGCTAGGGGAGAGCGCGGAGGAGAGCCGAGCGCGGGGAAAGTGCGGGAGCCAGGCCGGGCGGGGCGGGGGGCGCCGGGGGGCGGTGGGGGAGGGGGCCGGGGAGCGGCGCGGGCCGAGACTGCCTCCGCCCGCCCCCGCCCCGCCGCGGTACCCACCCACGGTCCGGGAGCCGATGCAGCCCATGGCTCCGGCGCCTCCGGGGCCGGGCGCTCACCGCCGCGGGGCGGGCGCCGGGGGCAGCACCGGGAGCCGCGCCGCCGCCCCAGCCGCTCTGCAGCGCCGCGGCTGTCTCCGCTCGGCTCCGCTCCCCCCTCCCCTCTCCATCCCTCCCCGCGGCAGCCTCCGTCGCCGCCGCCGCCGCCGCCGCCGCCGCCGCCGCCTGGCTCCCCCGCCCCGGCTCGGCTGGCGGCGGGCGGGGAGGGGGCGGCCTGGGGATTGGCTGCGCGCGGCGCCTCCCCGCCCCTGCCCCCGACCCCGCCGCCTAGCTCTCCTCGCGCACCTCTAGGCGCTCCCCCTCCGCCCGAGCCCTGCCCCTGGCCCGCGCGGGGCCTCTTCGCCGGGCCCCGGCCGGGCTGGCGCCTGGGGGTGCTGGAGACCCGGAGAAAGTCCCCCTTGGGTCCCCGAGCGGGGGAGAGAACCCAGCACCCGCCCTCCGGTTCTGGTGGATGGATTTCGAGGGCCAGGGTTGGGGATGCCCAGGGAGAAAGGCGCGGGATTGGAGGGGGGTGGGGAGGAGGGTGGCGGGGGACGCGCAATAAAGCTTGGATGAGGGGCCTCGGCCGCCAAATTCCGCAAACACTTGTTTTCTTCCTGGGGCCGCATCTGGGACACAGACGCGAGCGTGATTGGATACAGCTTCGGTTGCTCTGCGTTTCCTGTGCGCTGTTTCGTCCACCCAAACAGATCGCGAAGTCTTTGCGAGGGGATCGTGTACTAAGCTTCCCTGTGCTGGGCGCTTGCTGGAAACTCGGGGATGGGTGTGGGGTTGGTGCAGATCACCTCCAGGACTGATTGGGGATGGGGGAGTAGAATGAGATTATTCAGTCCCAGCTAGAGTGGAATAAAAATCAGGACTCGACTGGCTAGAAGGCACAGTTTGGAATTCAATTTAACTTACTGAGTCTTGGTCTCCTCTGACAAATGACAGCATGGATGTCAGGAAGCAGTCGAGAGAGGGGAGGATTGCCCCCTGGCTGGCCAGAAGGGGTCAGGGGGGTACCAGGGGCCTGATGAGTAAGAGATTGAGAGAGAGAGAGAGAGAGACAGAGAGAGTGATCTACGTGGTAGGGGTCAAGTGAGCACTGTAGTACAGCAGGCAAGAAGTGAAGTCCAGAAAAGTCACACAAGAAAGGGCACGGAAACTTGTCTCAGCAGCACCTGCAAACCCAAAGTGTGAGAGAGCAGACCGGGTCAGTACCAATGACAGCAAATCCAGGGTCCGTTTGTTCCCCACCTGCTTTCTTTTCCCTCCTGAGGTTGGGCAGGGACGAGGGCACCAGACCAGGGGTCCCAGCGTGGGTGTGGGTGTGTAATAGGACAAAAGACCAAGTCTCATAGATGCACCTTTTAACCCTTTAGAGTCTGAATGGGGAGCTAAACTTTACGGTGATATTTACCTTTCTTTACATTCTGTGGAATCCCGGATGAAAGGTGGGAGAGAAGACGCTAATAATCTAATTGCAGATCTGGGAGCTGGAATTATGGAGAGAGAACTGACCTTTGGTCTCTGTAGATGATGAAAGAAATCCAATCTGCATCTATAAAACCGTGAGAGAGAAGAGGGAGTAGTCAGTAGGTCTGCTGAGATTTTAGTCATCCAGTATAATCTGTGGCAAGATCTGATACCTTATTTTGACAGTGAGAAGAATCAGCAAGTATCTTCCCCATATCTACTATTTTGTTGGTTATACAAAAGAAGCGTCACGTGGTTTCTGCCCTCCTGGGATATATGGTCTCGCCGCAAAGGAGAGAACGTGGAAAGATGGGGGAAAAAGAAGAAGAAGGAGAAGAAAGAGAAGGGTTAGGAGAAGAGGAAGAAGAAACAACTTCCAATACTACAGCAGTGCCACTCAGCCCCTATTGCGTGTGGGGAGAAAGCACCGATGGAATAACCAGCTCAGGAAGTAACAGGCAAAGTGGCCAGCCCTGCTCTCCCTTTGGGGTGCTCTCTGATTCCAGTATTCCCACTACTAGGCTGGTCCAAATATGGATATAAACCCTGTCCCTTGTTCCCCTTAGCACAGCGGTACAAGGCTGGGTTTATCCAAATGATTGAAATCCAGTCAACACAAGGGACCCTGGGGGTCTTGAAGACTCAGTCCTGGTTCCCATTCTGTCTTAAAGGTATTTCCAGCACCAGAGAAAAGCAGAATGTCAGATCCTCTTACTTCTCACCATTTAGAGGCATTCTTTCCCAGTCTCTTTGCCATCTTCTGAGCCAAGGTCAAAGATTCTAGTTCTGATAGGAACAGGAACAACCTTTCTGGAGGACGATTTGACAGTACGGATCAAAAAATCTTCAAAATATGCATTGCTGTTGTTGCAACGTTACTAAATTGTGACACAGCTATTCCATTTATAGAAATATTCTAAGGAAATAAAAATAGAATATGGGCAAAGATTTAATCTACGGCACCCATCAGAGCACTATTTATATAATAATGAAAGATTGTACACAACCCATGGGCTCAAACCTGGGGATTAATTAAATAAATTATGGTATCTGCTTATAAGAGAATACTATGTAGCTACTGATAATATTTTATAATTGAATTTGTTGACAAATTATTCATGGTATATTCTGACATTATAAAGAAGCAGGCTGTAATATAAGAATTAGAGTATATCAATGTTTGTTTAAAAATCACATACACACATTCTCCTGCCTTTTGTCAGGCTTTCCATCCCAAGTAATTTATAGGATTCCCTGAGGAAAGCCTATGTTTTACAGATGTCCAGTCTCACTCATCAGTTAAGTTTGGCCCTCAATGAAATCACAATATTAATGAGTCTATTTCTAAACTCTAAAATTAGAGGACTTTGGCCAAATGCCCCAGTATGGCGTTGGTACTTCCTAACTGGTCCCCTTTGGAAAACGACGGGGTGGAATGATGTTTCCCCCTTCTCTGTGGTTGCTGTTTCATGCCCCTAGTCTCCTATGGATAGCTCTTAGACAGAAGGAACAGAACCAAGTTCAGAAACAGGACTGTCTAAGGATGCCTGGGTGGCCCAGCTGGTTAAGTGTCTGACTCTTCAGCCCAGGTCTTGATCCCAGGGTTGTGAGTTCAAGCCCCACATTGGGCTCCATGCTGGGCATGGAACCTACTCTAAAAAAAGAAAGAATGAAATAGTACCATCTAAAACAGGGACTCTTGGGGTGCCTGGGTGGTGCAGTGGGTTAAGCGTCTGACTCTTGGTTTTGGCTCGGGTCTTGAAATCAAGGCCAGGGTCAAGCTCCACACTCAATGAGGAGTCTGGTCCAGATTCTCTCTCTCCCTCTCCCTCTGCCGCTTCTCCGGCTTGCTTGCTCTTTCTCTCTCTCAAATAAATAAATAAATCTTAAGTAAAATAAAACAGGAAAATTTTTTAAAAAGATTTTATTTATTTATTTGACAGAGAGAGAGAGCACAAGCAGGGGGAGAGGCAGAGGGAGAGGGAGAAGCAGGCTTCCGGCTGAGCAGAGAGCCCAACATGGTGCTCAGTCCCAGGACCCTGGGATCATGACCTGAGCCAAAGGCAGATGCTTAATGACTGAGCCACCCAGTTGCCCCTAAAACAGGAACTCTTGTCCCAGGATCCACGGGCAGAATCCAGAGTCCCTAACCTTGGTTGGGAGAACTTACATCTTTATGTTCACTGACTTGTAACTGAAATTCTCCATGTCCTTCGGGTGTACGTATAGGCAGCAAAGCATAGTGGTATTAGAGCTGTTTTCCCGTGTCTTTACTGCCTATAAAAATCGTAGATGTTTCTATTATACTACAGTTGCAGATTTCTTACACTATCCTTTATGTTCATCACTACTTTGAAATTATGGTGGTACTGAACCCACCTGTACATGTTCCTATTTAATGCTTTGATAAAGAAGCAGATATATTACTATATCACCATTTTATAATAACTGGTTTTTTATATTAGTCGTTCCCTTTTTATATTATTGTTTAATATTTAGTATTTAGTATTATTCTGACAGGGAAGCCATGGATTTTCCAGGTTGCCAAGGGATCCAGGGCAGAAAAACTTGTAAGAATCCCTGGGCTCAGGTGCGCCTGGCTGGATCAGTCAGCGGAGCATGTGACTCTTGATCTTGGGGTTGTATGTTCAAGTCCCGCTTTGGGCGTAGAGATTGCTTAAAAATAATAAAAAAAAAACTTAAAAAAAAAAGAATCCCTGGCTTCCAAATATATTTTTGGTGTTGGCAGTGGTGTTGGGTGGTCTTTGATTCTGCAGGAGCTTAATAATCCTGTTAATACTACCAACTTAAATGACCAAGCGAGACACATGACGTCCCATTTTGAAGCCTTGGTCCCCAAGAATAGATATGTCCCTTATATCTGCAGGACTAAAAGAGTCAAACCCAAGCTTCATGCCCACCCCAACAAATTCAGAGGAAACACTAAAAGACAGCAGCTTAATAAAGACTTTCTTTTGTTTTAATGGGAGACACTAGATCACAGT